CCGCGGGCCCCCCGAGGCGCAGAGGCCCTGCGCGAGCGTGTCGCACCCCTTCGCCGCCGCCGCCGCCGCCGCCGCCGCCGCCGCCGGCGACGACGGCGACGGCGACGGCGACGGCGACGACGGCGACGGCGACGGCGACGGCGACGACGGCGACGGCGACGGCGACGACGGCGACGGCGACGGCGACGGCGACGGCGACGGCGACGGCGACGGCGACGACGACGACGACGAGTCAGAGAGGGAGGAGGAGGAGGAGGAGGAGGAGGAGGAGGAGGACGACGACGGCGCCGCCGCCGCTGCACTCTCATGTGTGCGCCGGCCTCAGGGGCGACGCATGCGCTCAGGCACCTTCTGGCACGTGTTCGGTGGCGGGCGCCTCCTGGCCACACCCCGCCTGGATGACGGTGTGTCGTACAGGGTGATTGTACTGCAGGCTCGGTCCGGCCGTGCGCCGCAAGTGGGGGGTCCAAGTACCAGTACTGTCGGACGTGGATAGACCTCCTACCCTGACACGTCGATTAGTGAATTGTCCGTTTTCGGTTCTCGAGAGGGCGCCGCGGCCGTTATTTTCCAGGCTCGCGCCCGCCAGGCTTGGGCCAGAAGTCGTTTTCACTACACCACGCTTTACCAAAGGGAGGTCTGTCCATCCCCCTCGTTGCTCCGGGCGGGCCCGCGTGCCTGGTAGCAGCACGCCGCGTTCCCTTTCATTGGGGCCAGTTTCTTCTGTGCAGGGCGCGACTCGATTCGACTCGACTGTCCATCCCCGGTACCGGGTCCATTGCGATCGACCGCTTCGATTCTATGTCGGTTTCGCCCGTCTCTCGATCTTGCTCGAGTTCCAGCTCTCCGACGATCCGATGCGGCCCGTCGCTGGTATGGTTCAGGAGGGGAAAGAACACACACAGACACAATAAATCGTCGACTCCCAGAAAAGATAGGAAAATATGGGAAGTGGGGAGGAAGACCAAAGCCCAGAAAATATTGAATAATATTGGGTTAAACCAAAAATATGTGTGTATTTATGAGTGTGTGTGTGTCCCAGGGCCCCTTCAATGGTGCTGCTCTGCTTCTTCGCGCAGCCGATCCGATCCGCTTTCGACTCGTTGCCGATGCGGTCCGATTCGGTTCACGTTCCGATCCGGTCCTACGTCCCGATTCGATCCTGATTGCTCTTGCCCTCGTAAAGTCAGAGGGCGAAGAACGGTATAACATAAACTTCTTCGCTGTCGGGGACGCCTGTCCCTGGGCGGCTGGAAAGTTTATGCCCCTACGGTGTCACCGTAAGGGTATAAACTTTCCGGCCGCCCAGGGACAGGCGCCCCCGACAGCGAAGAAGTTTATGTTATACCGTCCTTCGCCCGTTAATAAGAGAGGCGCCCAGCATTCGCAGGCGATTCATCTACCCCGATCGCCGAGCTCCGCCCGAGAAATGGGGCCGCTCAGAGCAGGGGGAGGGAGCTCGGGGGTGCTTTGATGCTGGCTGCTCTTGCCCTCTCTTGGGGGCGCCCAGCATTCGCGGGAGACTGATCGACCACAATCTCCGAGCTCCGCCCGAAACACTGCGCCGCTCAGAGCAGGGGGAGGGAGCTCGGGGAGACTCTGATGCTGACTGCTCTTGCCATCTGAAAGGGGGCGCCCAGCATTCGCAGGCGACTGATCGACCACAATCACACCGAGCTCCGCCCGAAAAATTGGGCCGCTCAGAACAGGGAGAGGGAGCTCGGGGATACTCTGATGCTGAATTCTCCTTGTCGGAGGCTGGGGGGGAGACCGAAGCAACCTGGAGCGCCCCCCCCCCCCCCGAAGGGAAGACGACGCATCAGTGCCGGGCCCTGCCGCGAGCACGGGCGAGGCGAGGGGCCACGCGACTGCGAGAGAGCCAGGGAAAAGGTTTTATCGTGTTTTCGCTCTGTCCTCGTGGTCCTGCCCTTCGTCTCCAGCCAGGCCCTGCTACAGAACTAGGGGGCCACGTGCGAACCCTACCCCTACCCCCCACGATTTCTGAGGGGGAGGGTACCGTTCGGGCCGACTCCTGCTGCTGGGCGTGCTGGCCACGAACCGGGGAGGGCGCTCGGGGATATCCCCTGCGCGCGGGCACGGGCGCCACGCGCGGCCGTGGGCGCCCGAAGCTCGGGGATAATCTCCTTCGGGGGCTATCCCGACGCACCCCCTTATCGAGGGTGGACGTTCCCCCGCTGCTCGCGTCCCGGAGTTTGGCCTCAGATGTTTGTCAGGAGGGAAAAAACACACAGACACAATTAATCGTCGATCCCCAGGAAAATATAGGAAAATATGGGAAGTGGGGGGGGAATACAGAAACTATGACAAAATATGGGGAATATTTTTATTTGTGTGTATTTATTTGTGTGTCCCAGGGCCCCTTAAGTTTGATCCAGTCGAAAAAGAAACCAAAGTCTGGGATTGCGGGGTCGCCATCTGCGGTCCTTCCTCGCGTCCTCCTGGGTCTCCATACTTACCCGTCGCGGTCCTCGCTCGCGGGATCGCGGTCTGCGATTGCGGTCAGTTTTCTCCGCATTGGTTACCTCGGCGTGTGCGTTTGTCGCCGGTAGTCGCAGATTGCACCGAGTGAGAAGTGTGGGGGGCATTGCTCCTCGATGGTTCGCGTCCTCTCCCCTGTCCTCCCGGCCCTTCTCCATGATAGTTGCGTGGGAGAGAAAGAGTACCCATCGCGGTCCACTGGCACTGGGAGCGCCAGATCAAAGTACAGCAGCAGTGCATCTTCCTGCGTCCCATCGCAGTCCTCGCTCGCGGTCCTGCAGCGGCGAGGTTCGAACATCGAGTGCCGATGGAGCTGTAGGGAGGAGGAGGAGGAGGAGGAGGAAGAGGGGAAGGGGGGAGGGGGAGGGGGGGAGGAGGGGGGAGGGGGAGGAGGAGGGAAGAGGAGGGGGAGGAGGAGTAGGAGAAGGAGGAAAAGGAGGATGAGGAGGAGGAAAGGGAGGGAGGAGGGAGGAGGAGGAGGAGGAAGAGGAGGAGGAGGAGGAAGAAGAGGAGGAGAAGCAGACGGGGGAGGGGGAGGGAGGAGGAGGATAAGGGCCAGCAGGGACAAGAGGAGGAGGAGGAGGAGGAGGAGGAGGAGGAGGAGGAGGAGGAGGAGGAGGAGTTGAAGGAGGAGGAGGAGGAGGAGGAGGAGAGGACCAGTGTAAAGTGCAAACCCAAGACGCATCAACTGTATTGTAATTAAGCGTTCCTCCAAGCTTTCTTTCACAGGTCCCCGCAAGAAGTTCTCGTCATTGCGGGAAGTGGCCCATCAGATGACAGCCGTCTGAGAATCCCCCATCGTGCCAGAACAACACTTCTGGGACGTCAACGCCGTGGATCCACGTGACAGCTGCGTCCTGGCAATCCTAAATCGTGTCAGAACGCCATCCCTGGGATTTCAGCACTTCGAGTCAACATTACTGCTGGGCCCTGATAATCCTAAATCGTGCTCGAGCGCCATCCCTGGGACTTGAACCATACGAATCTTCGAAGCTGCTGCAACATTGTACCACGAATGTGCGCGGCGCCAAGGCGAGAGTCACAGTTTCAAAGGGCATTGCGCTCCATCCTTGAAACTGTTGCACTCTGTAATATCGAAAATTGTCGGCGCTGAGGCGGGAGCCACATTCTGCAAACTGCCCGCCATACATCCTTGAAACTGTTGCACACTTTAGAGACGAATGCGTGCGGCGCTAAGGCGAGAGCCACATTTCGAGAAGTAACCGCCCTCCATGAGTGAAAACGTTGTGAACTTGTTTAGCGAATACGCATGGCGCTAAGGCGAGAGCCACACTTTGAAAACGGCCCGCGCTCCATCTGTGAAATCGCTGCAGATGTTGAAGGGGGTGCATGCGGCGCTTAGGCGAGAGCTGTTGAAAGCGACCCGCCCTCCGTCCGCGAGGCTGCTGCAGACGTCAAGCCTCAGGATCATAGATGCTGAGGAGGTCTCGGGCGAAACGCCCAGGCCCGCCCTGCCGACACATCCGGGGGTGCAGCAGGGAGGAACTATGTACTTGTTTTGATCTGCAGGGCGAGCGGGAACCTCTTCCGCTGAAAGCTGCGCGTGACGCGCACAGCTGTAATTGGCAGAGAAGGGGCGGGAGAAGGCGGGCCTCACGCGGCCAGGGTCGGGCGAAGCCCGGGGATCAGGCGGTGCCGAACGGGACGTGCAGGAAGAGGTACACCTTGGACAGGAGCCCGGAGGAGTTATGTACAGTCAAGGCGCCAAACTGGTAAACATATTGGGGCTCGGAAGGGCTCGATGTTCCTTAGGCTCCTGCATTGCTGTTCCTATTGCCCTACTCGGGCACGGAGACGCTTTTTACGCTCGAACAAGGGTTTCGCTCGGGATTGCGTACTGCTCTCTGTCCACCACGGCCATGTTTAGCAGCTTGGTGGGGCAATTTTGCGCCATGAAGGTCGTACATATTATTTGTCCGGCATTGGCGGTGCTCTCAGCAGGCATGCTCATCGGTGGGGCGATGGCTTGGTGGTGTCCGCTCCTTCTCCTCCCTCCAAAATTGCGCTGCCCTTTTTTATAAAAGATAGGCGGTCCTTCTCTCAGCGGCCCGACTGTGAAAGGAAAGGGATGCAGGAGGAGGAGGAGGCCAAGGAGAGAAGAAGGAGAAGGAGGAGAAGGCCAACGAAAAGGAGAAGGAGGAGGAGGAGGAAAAGTAGGAGGAGGAGGAGCAGGAGGAGGAGGAGGAGGAGCAGGGAGCCGAGGAGGAGAAGGAGGAGGAGGAGGAGGAGGAGGAGGAGGAGGAGGGGGAGGAGAGCAGCGGAGGAAGAGGAGGAGGAGGAGGAGGAGGCCGGAGGAGGAGGAGGGAGGAAGAGAGGAGGAGGAGGAGGAGGTGGAGAAGAGGGAGGAGGAGGAGGAGGAGGAGGAGGAGGAGATGGCCAAGGAGGAGGAGGAGGAGGAGGAGGAGGAGGAGGAGGAGGAAGGGGGAGGCCTCGAGGAGATCCGAGAGGCGGGAGGCGCTCGCCCGCCCTCCGCCCCAGAGGAGCCCGGCGGCGAGGCCGCGCCGCCGCCCGGCGAGGAGGGCGAGCCGGAGCCTGACGCGGTGCCCGCGCCGGTGGAGGCCGCCGGCGCGGGTTGCGGGGTCCTTCTCGGGCCGGACGAAAGGGGGGGATTGGGAAAGGGGGGGTTACGAAATTTGCTGCATGCAGCTGGTTTCGGCCCCACCGAGGGGCCCATTCCTCGATACATTGCCGCCTCCGGCGCCGGGAGGCGCCGGGAAAATCAGCTACGTGATCTGATTCTCAACCCCCCCCTTTGCTATCCCCCCCTTTCGCCCGACCCGACCTTCGCAAGCAGTGACGATGCGTCCAGGTTCGCCTATAGCCTATAGGCCCACCAAAGAATGTGTCAAGGACCTTTTGAGGTCTGCACGACAGTGTTCTTAGAGCAGTCCTGGCTGGGGGTGTCTGCTTTTAGCACGTCGGGTTTGTGTTCTAAGGGCACTGTTTGTCTCATTAGAACATTTCTGGGTTCTAAGACGATTTCGTCGTAGGCCTATAGGAATGCTGGGACGGTCGGTCCCTGCTCAATTCCGAGCCTCGGGTTTCGGTCGGGCCGCGATACAAGACCGAGGTCGGCTCGGGGAGGATACCCGAGTGTCCCAAGACCCACTTGCGCGTTGTGAGCAAAGTCAGGACGTGATGTTTTTGCCATGTTCGGCCTCCCGGGGCCCCGGGCCCCGGGACCGTACAAAATTAGTTCAGGATGAAAAACCAATCCCGGGGAAGGGTTCTAGACCGCTGGGGGTCGACGCTATGAAGAAATCATGATGTTGGGGGTCTGGGTAGCTAGGCCTCCCAGATGGGTCCGAGTAGATGGGGTCGGAGGATCGCGCCGCATCGCCGATGCCTCGCGCCGCATCGCCGAGCCTCGGGTTGCGGTCGGGCCGAGGTATAAGACCGAGGTCGGCTCGGGGAGGATACCCGAGTGATTCTCGGACTCCCAGATGGGGTCCGAGAAGAGATGCATGGGGTCGGAGGATCACGCTGCATCGCCGATGCCTCGCGCCGCATCGCCGAGCCTCGGGTTGCGGTTCGGGGTGGCGTATAAGACCCGAGGTCGGTTCGTCGAGGGCACCCAAGAAGCCCCCAAGAAGTCTGGGAGTTTAGGGTCGCAATGCCCTGTTGCGGTGCTCCTCGCGTCCCCCTGGGCCTCCACTGCTCATCGCGGTCCTCGCTCGCGGGATCGCGGTCGCCATACCCATCGCGGTCCAAATTCTGGTACAGTCGGAGGTAGAAGACCGAGGTCGGCTCGGGGATGGTACCCTGGTGTTTTTCGTGTCTGTTGGATGTTCTTGTGCATCCTTCGAATCAGAGAAGAACTACATATACATAAACGTTCGACAGTCCGTGCGGACCGTCGATTTTTTTTGTTTGTGCAATTTGTTGCTCTAATCCTTGGTAGGGTACCCTTGGATGTTCTGTGTGTTTTGGCCAGCGGAGGGTCTCATGCTCTTGAAGGATGTTATTCTGTCTTAGGTCCGACTGTACATGGGCGCCTCCTGGCGCCAGGAGGCGCCAGGAAAGCCGGCTGCGTGAGCTGTTTCTCTACCCTGCCCTTTGCTTTGCTATATTGACGTTGCATCTTCGGAGGACATCTCCTGTAATTGGTGTCTTTTCTTGTGCCCGACTCGGGCTCGATGGCGGACTCGACGCGGATTTGGCGTGGATTCGACGCGGATCCGACAGGGATTCGACACGGATCTGCCGAGTCCGACGTGGATTCGACTCCGATTCGACGCGGATAGGGCCGAGAGGGGACAGACAAAGTCCCCCGAGAAAGCAACATAATTGCCGGCGCAGGGGGAAACGCAGGCAGCAATGGGCGAAGTCCGTACAACCACGATCTCGATCATGTGCGTATATCTGAAGCCTCGTATGTTCTCCCTTTTTTCCTCCCCTGCCTTCCCCCTCCCTAGTGGCGCGGGCTCCGGCAACTTTTTAGTTGCGTTTCAGTTGCGTTATACTTGCCCACGCGTCCTCCATGGATGCACGGCTTTCTTGTCTATACAGCGCCGGTCTTAATACATGCTCCGCGTGCGGATCATATATCAAGAGATAAAAGGGATTTAGTATTAAAATCAATGATGAATGTATGCATTGATTTATTCGTAAATTAATCATGTATTGAACATCCAATGTATTAAACATCCTATGCATTAAAACCTGCCCTGTATCCTTTCGGCCCCCCCCCTCCCGCTCCTCGCCCCTCTCGCCCCCCGTGTGCGCCGTCTCGGCCTGCGACGCCGCCTCTCCGCCCCCGCCCGCCTCTGGCTCGGGTATGGCCCGGACCCGGGTCAAGGGGACCCGGTTAGTGGTAGGGCCCTGCAGGGCCCTACCACTAACCGTGTCCCCTTACCCGCCGCGACCAGATCATTCCAAGAACTTGCACCCGCCGCGACCAGATCCGGGCTGGCACGGGCTCATTGACCACGGTTACACAAGAATTCGCGGGCCCCGGTGCCGTCCCCTGGCGGGTAAGAACCCTTGTAAGAACCTTCACGCAGGGTTCCTGGCGGTTCAGGGCTTCCGCGGCCCTGCAGGCCCCATGGGGCCCCTCAATTGGCCAGAATCATTAAACCAGGTTTGCCGTAGCTGGTGTTCTTCGGGTGACGGCAGTTCCGGTCAGTGGAAATGGGGCGGGGGGGCGCCCCCGTTGCAAATCTGTAAGCCAGGTTCCACGAAACCCAGTTTTGCCAACGCCCGATCTGCACCCTCCCCCGCCCCCGCCTCGGGCCGTCTCCGCGCCGAAGTTGCCCCGGATCGCATTCGACTTGTGATGTTCCAGCCTACTTTTTAGCATTGACAGGCCAGCCACAACTGGGGGAGCTGTGATCCTTACCCCCCTGGGGGACCCATCGATTTCGACACCCATCTCGAGAGATCGTCGAGGCGATGGGTTCACCCAGGGGGGAAAGGACCACAGCTCCCCCTGTTATGGCTGGTCGAATCGACCACCAGAAAGAATTTCGAGCGAAACTTGAGGGTTTTTACGCGTCGGGCCCTGGGAGGCGATACTCTTTTGACACTGTTTCGACACTTTCTTCTCGGTGATCGAAATTCTTTTCTGGGATGTGGTCCTGAAGTACGATTGGAACAACACGACATTCGACTGCAGTTTTTTGGACGCGAATTACTGGGGGGCGAATTCGGTAGCAAATCATGGGGAGCCTCATATACCTGTTGACATCCGTCTTTAGCGTCCACTGGCGTCCACTAGCGTCTGGGAGCCGATAAGACAGCGCCGATTTAGCGTCGAGTTAGCGCCGACGAGCGTCGAGTTAGCGTCGGCGAGCGTCGACTCGCAAGAGCCGGCCAGATGGTGTGGGGGGCCCCCCGTGAGCTGCCACCGAAGGAAGGCGGGTGCCTCTCTCGGGCCCCCGAGGCCCCCCCGGTTGTTCGGGCTCGCCGCGAGGGGGCCCCCGGAGGTGCACGCGGCCGGCTCGCGCTGTGCGAGCGCCAGCGCGGCGGCAACCACAGTTGCCCTGCGACGTACTGAAGCCCTTCTTCAGCGAGCGAAGAACGGCATGAGATAAACTTTTTCGCCGTCGGGGGCGCCTGTCCCCGGGCGGCTGGAAAGTTTCTACCCCTGCGGTGCCACCGTAAGGGTATACATTTTCCAGCCGCCCGGGGACAGGCGCCCCCGACAGCGAAAAAGTTTATGTTATACCGTTCTTCGCCCCTGAATTTCTACACACGTGCTGGGCCTCGCTCGGACGTGGGCATTTTTCCTCGGCGAGAACCATCGAGGACCATCCTGGACCATCGGGCAACAAAAAAACACGCACGGAACCGACAGATGCACGGGAAATGGACGTCCGAGCGATGGCAAGTGTGGCGACGATGCACAGGACCGATCAGGACAAACGAGCACGTTGAATTGAAGGACCCGCAGGAGCCCACGAACGTGGCGACGATTGCGCAGTCCGCAGCATCCCAGGGAGCCGCGAGATCTCGGCTGGGTGCGTTTACAACTCTGCTCCGCTGGGCATCCCAGTAGCCCACGAAAGGGGCGAAAGGGGCGAACTTCGCAGTCCCCTGAGGGAGCCGCCAGGTCTCGACTGGGTGTGTTTACAACTCCACTCCTCGGGGCCTCCCAGGAGCTCACGAAAGTGGCGAGACAACTTTACACTTCGCAGCCCCCCAGGGGAGCCGCGAGGTCTCGGCTAGGTGCCTTTCCAGCTCCAGTCCGCTGGGCCCCCCAGGAGCCAACGAAAGTGGCGACAACTTCACACTTCGCAGCCCCCCAGGGGAGCCGCGAGTTCTCGGCTGGGTGCGTTTCCAACTCCACTCCGCTGGGCCTCCCAGGAGCCAACGAACGTGGCGCCAGTTGCGCACTTTGCAGCCCCCCAGGGGGAGCCGCGAGGTCTCGGCTGCGTGCGTTTCCAACTCCTCTTCGCTGGGCCTCCCAGGAGCCCGCGAAAGTGGCGGCAACTTCACTCGTCGCAGCCCCAGCAGGGGAGCCGCGAGGTTTCGGCTGGGTAGTGTGTTCACAGGTCCACTCCGCTGGGCCTCCCAGGAACGCACGAAACTGGCAACAGCTTCGCACTTCGCAGACCCCCAGGGAGCCGCGAGGTCTCCCCTCCCAGGGGCACGCGAGAGAGGCAGAGTCACAACGGGGTTGCAGCGCAAGCAGGACGAAGGAGAGACGGGAGGAGGAAGAGAAGGAAGAGGAGACAGGAGGCAGAAGGGAGGAGGCAGGAGGCAGGAGGGGGGGAAGGAGGAGGGAGTAGTGCAGACCACAGCGCTCATTCAATATGAGAGCTTTTTTCACAGGAAGGTTGGGAAACGTATAGAGTCCCTCCAGATCCTAGCCTATCTTGGGGTGCGTTTGGACTGCGAGTTCGAGGGCAATCCGGCCGTCAGGATCGGGAGCTCCGCGGAGGCCCCAGCAGGCCCCCCAGCGTGTTTTCGAAAAGCCCCGATGCTGGATCCTGGGCCCCTCTTCTTCCTTCCTTCGAGTCGATGTCGCGGCATTCGTTGTTCTTCAGAGCGCTGGCGGGAGACTCCTCCTCCTTCTCCTCCTCCTCTTCCTCCTCCTCCAGCCCCTTTCTGCGTCGAG